GTTTTTTAATTAAAGAAACATTTTTTTTGTTTCTTTTAATGAAAAAATGTCAAACCCGACGTTTTTTAATTAAAGAAACATTTTTTTTGTTTCTTTTAATGAAAAAACATCAAACCTGACATTTTTTAATTAAAGAAACATTTTTTTTTTGTTTCTTTGATCGAACCTGATATTTTTAATAAAAAAAGACATTTTTGTAATTATTTTTAATGAAAAAACGTCGGATTCAGGTCAGTTTGGCATTTTTTTATATATATAAAATGCTGAAACGTCTTATTTTTGACCGAAATATGTCAGGTCAATGGGTCAGGTCGGGTACCCGACTCTGACTGACCTGACCTGAGGTCGGGTCATTAAATCTGCTACCCGACCTGAATTTTTCGGGTCAACCCGTCAGGTCACCCAATCCGTCAGGTCAAATTCGGAGCTCTAGTCACTACTGCATTTGAAGATCTATGTTCCTTCTCAGAAATAAAAGCATTGATAATTGACACCAAAGCCTGGCATGAAAATGCAAATGCGAATTTACGATCTTTGAAGCATGATGTTGGACAGTGTATAACTGAGAGCGCTAGTTATGAGAAAACCATGTGGGAGAGAATAGAAATGGAACTTGAGGAAATAAATGTAGAGAATCTTGGATTCAATCATCCAATTTGTTCAGGTGTTCTAGATATCAAGTCAGAACCCTTTTCAAATATGCCTGGGTCGGTTTCTGATATTTTTAAGGAACCATTTTGAAAATATAAGTTAGAACAGAATCATGAAATAATGGAAGCTTGTAAAGAATTTATCCAAAACGAAGAATCGAAAATTAACATGGATGAGGTTTTGGGTAATATTAATTATGGAGAATAATTGGACAAGCCCGAAGAATTGCAAGATCTAACAAAACGGATGTTAGAATCAATGTGAGTAACCGGCAAGCAATTCTTACTAAAATCCGTTTATGCGATTTTTTACTTTGCTCATTAACTGATAAATAATTATAGGCTCAAGGTTTGGAAGTCGCCAAAATACGAAGCATATATAAAGAAGGGGAAATCGATAAATGAAGGATCATATGTTTGTGAGGTGCTAGCGCCATTATTAAATATAGTGATAAACGATTTACCAGAAAACCTGATAGCATGGGATATATGGTAGGATTAGTTCAAAAGGTTACATTGCAACACTATCATATCTTTTGCTATAATTAATGTTTTCTAAATTAAGGGTGAAGAAGAAAGTTCAGCTAGTGCCATACGAAAAGGTTCTCGTAAAATTGCGTGAAGAGCCGATTATATGATGGTAGTTCAGCTAGGAAAAAATGCTGAACTTGAAATTGTTTATCTTGAGACCGGTAGACCTAATTCCAGTCAAGATAAGCGGGTTCGTGATCATAAAAAATTAATACGTTTCTCCAAGGATTCTATCAACACTACGAGAAGCATATTAAAGCTTAAAAGGATATTTAATCAACTATTGAAAAGGCAGAATTTGTCCATATTTACTATTAATATCGCAGGTATAACAAATTACTTCTATTTTTTTTACATATTTATAAATTGCTCATATTCTGCTTCATCTATTGCTAGGCGATGTTTTAGAACTTTATGCTATGCGGAAAGAATCAGGTATTTATAAGTACTGTTTAATAGAGGAAGCGACAATTCCATTGCATATGACTTCCCCAAGTGCCGTATAGGTGTATACCCACTTATACATGCATTGATGACTCTGAGAACGGCCGTCGCATGTACGATTCACAAAATATTATATAGTTCTGACTCTGGGGATAGTGAACATAGTTTTAGTGAAATGGTAGTAACAGTTACAACCCCCAAAAATTCATAGAATAGAGATTTCATACATGTAATTTTTATTAAGTTATGTTATTAATAAAGCAGTGTATTAGATAATAAAAAAATTCTTGGTATTTTCTGAGACATTATGTCCCAGAAAATTTTCTTGGCAAATTTCAGCGACGGCCTGGCCCAAAATCACTAACAATATAAAACTGTTAAGATCTTCTGGTGATCATTGATCACGTGATCTGAGCCTAAACCAATCCCTTACCAGATATGACACAATCCGCGATATAGGCGTGTACCACTATAGTCTATAAATGAATTTTGCATGCAAACTTTTTTTGTGCAAACCTATATCTAATAAAAATGTTCCATTCTGACTATAAACATATTATTGATAGACTACCTGAAAGTCTTGTCAAGAGAGCTTGCCAGAGACAGGACCCCGGATATCTCCAAAACAGGTCATAAGTCACACTTTTGGCAGATTGGCCCATTTTTCAGGGGCTCAAAAAATCGTTTTTTGTAAATATCTCGGCATCCAGTGGTCCAATTTTGATGAACTTTTTTTTAAATTGTAGAGCTAAATGAGGGCTACAAAATAAAAAAAAGTTCATTAAAATTGAATTACTGGATGCTGAGATATTTACAAAAAACGATTTTTTGAGTTTCAGCAAAAAGGGGTGTTTTTGGCCAAAAGTCCATTATGACCTTTATATTAGATATCCGGGGTCCTCCAGAGACTCTTGCACCATTCTAAAGACCCTGTTCCATTAGAATCTATTTCCAAGAAGTCTGAACGAATTGAATCTTATTTGAGGTGCACATTAGAGGTTTATGAGAATTCGTTAAATAAGAAGAAACGTAAAACTATGACTCAGGAAAAAATATTGCGCCCTTGAAGATGGCCAGAATGTAATGTATCCCCAGCATTACTGACTATACATGTTGTAGATAATTGGTCCCAAACCAATGTTACTACTTGGCCAGAGGCACTAAAGCATGATTATGAAGAAGAGAATAATCGCCAGGTTATGAATGAGCTTAAAGTACTATCTCAGCATCTGATCGATTATAATAAATGAACTTTTGAGAAATTTATGCATGACATAGAAAAGGAATATAGAGAGTGGATTACTGCAAATAAGAAAATGCGCTATGAGATCAAAAATCTGAAGATGCAAGTGCTGGAGGCAGAAAAGGAGCTGGCATCTATGAAGTCGAATTCTATTCATTAGTGAGAATTTGGTTGGGGATACTTTTTTCCTTGTATTTCTGCAAAGTAATATCCTGGTCAAGATTATGCGCTTTCTGAGGATCAATAAGGTTCTCCCATTCTCTTTTATAATTATGAAAAAAGAATGTCATTTCGCAGATCTCACCCAAGGCAGAGAAGAACATATGAAGAACATAAAGCTGAGCTGGAAGAAGAGAACTATCATCTTCGTAGTGAATTGCAAGCAGAAGTTGATAGTAACTGCCAAAATGAAAAGCAGATCAGGGCGCTGGAACGTGAATGTGTCCGTTGTGAACAAGAAATCTGAACTCTTAATGGTGAGATAGAACGTCTTGAGAATGCTTCGAAAGAGAAGATAGTAGAGCTAAAATCTGAAATTTCCAGCCTAAAAAAGCAACTATATCAAGCTAAGAACTAAGAAGGATATTCGTGATAATGAAAAACATATTTCTAGTATAGAGAGAATGGTGTTTTTCCTGTAGTATTATGTTTCTTCGTTCGATACGCTAAAAGTACTGCATCGATTAATTGATCCCATTCCTTATTATTATCTTGAATTAATTTTGCAATATATTCACCAATTGTTCGATTAAATCTTTCAACCATTCCATTTGTTTGAGGTTTATAAGCTGAGGTAAAATGATGTTTAGTTTGATAATTTTCACATAATTCATCAATCAATTTATTCATAAATGATGTTCCTCTATCTGATAGAATTTCTTGTGGAACTCCATGTCTACAAATAATTTCTTCATAAATAAATTTAGCTACTGTTTCTGCTTTAATATTGGATATCGCTCTTGCTTCTGGCCATTTTGTAAAATAATCCATGGCGACGATAATATATCTATTTCCACTACTGGTGATCGGTAATGGTCCTTTAATGTCAATTCCTATCCTGTGAAATAGTCCCTTAACTGGTATTGGTATCAGTTCCTCTCAACGATTAGTAGGTCCTCTTCTTTGACAAATATCACAAGTTCTTATATATTCTTTTACATCTTCTCCCAATTGTGGCCAATAATATCGATCTTTGATTTTTCCAATTATAGCATCTATTCCTAAATGAGTACCGCTCATATCTGTATGAAAGTGATATAAAATAGGTTCTACTTGTTCGCGTAGAATTACTTTTCTTATACCATCCTTTGTTTTCCTAAATAAAATATTGTTTTGATAAATATATTGGGTTGAGTTTTTCCGAATTTGGGTTTTCCGTTTATCAGTTATACCATCCATAAAAGTGAGAGTTGTTAAAAATAAAATTAATTCTTTATATGGTTGTTCATCCATGATCGTTATGTGAGGTTAAAGGATTGGTGTGATTATTAGTTGAGGTTGAGTCGAGACGAGATAATGCATCAGCATTCGTATGTTTAGTTCCTTTCTGATATACAATGTCATATTTATATTCCGATAAGGCAATCTTTCATCTTTCCAATCTTTTATTATTATTCTCTGTTGTTGAATTCAACAACCACTTGAGCGCTGCATGGTCGGTGATGATGGTGAATTTACTTCCATAAAGATAATGTCGAAAATATTTAACTGCCCATACAATTGCAAGGCATTCCAATTCTGTGATGGCATAATTCTTTTCCGCCGGTATTAAAGTTCGACTAGCATAGGCAATCACATGCTCTTGATCATCAGTTTTTTGTGCAAGTACTGCGCCTAACCCTATAATTGAAGCATCGGTATATAAGAAGAAAGGTTTTGAAAAATCTGGGTATTGTACGATCGGTGCCATTGTTAATTTATCTCTTAAATTCTCGAATGCCTTTTGTTGTAAATTCGTCCATTCATAGGGTGCATCTTTTTTTAATAACTTGTACATTGGATCAGCAACTTTAGCAAAATCTTTGATAAAGTGTCAATAATAAGAGAATAATCCTAGGACTCCACATAATTCTCTAATATTTTGAGGCTCTGGGTAATTAACCATTTTATCGACTTTTTCTGGATCAGGTTTAACACCTTCTTTTTCCACAACATATCCTAAAAATTGAAATTCAGCTGCTGCAAAATGACATTTCTCTGCTTTTAATCTTAAATTCACCTTACAAATTCTATTTAGAACTTCTTCCAAATGTTGGATATGATCTTTAAAAGTTTTTGAATATATAATGACATCGTCAAGATAAACTAAAACGAACTTTTCCTTTATTCCATGTAAAACTTTATCTATAGTTCGCCGAAATGTCGCAGGTGTATTGCAAAGTCCAAAAGGCATAACTTTGAATTCGTAGGTTCCAAATTTTGTGATAAAAGCTGTTTTTTCCTGGTCTTCTGCCCTTACTTTTATTTGCCAATACCCTGACGCTAAATCTAAAGTGGTGAACCATTGTGCATCTTGTAAAGAATCTAATAATTCATCAATCCTTGGAAGTGGGTAATTATCCTTTTTTGTAATATCGTTAAGAGGTTTATAATTAACGCAAAACCTAAGTTTTCCATTCTTCTTTTTCACTACTACTACTGGAAATGACCATGGACTAGTCGATGGTTCTATTAGCCCTTGTTCTAACATGTCATTAATTTCATTCTCAATAAATTCATTTTCCTTTGATGCTGTCCTATAAGCTCGCTTTTTGATAGGTGGCACTTCTTCAGTGATAATAATATGTTCCCCTTCTGGAGTTTGTTTTAACTCTTGCAATGATTTAGCGAATAGCTGAAGTCTTTATTTTTTTCTAGTAATTGATGGAGTGATTGATATTGACTTTTCTCTAATTCTCCAATCGGAACAACTTTTTCTGGTTCTAATTGAATATTAGATACATTCGGACTTTCTGATTCTTGCATCACGTGATAAATATTCCAATCTTCTTGAACTATTTGACAATTATCACAAACTTCTTGATCTCCTAAGGTTTTACATAGGCATTTTCCTGGTATTTTACTATTAATTACGCCAGTACTATTGTGACTTTGTTGCTTAATATATTCCAGATACCCTGGGTGATATTCTCGATCATTGATTTGAAAAGTACTTTTGGTTATTTCTGCCTTGTAAAATGGAACGGCTATGGTGTCTTCTAACTCATCTTTTAATTCTAGTTTATCTACTGGGTCAATGACTGTATATTTTGTTGGGTCCAATTTTTGAGAACATGTGATAGGAATTTGTTGTTGAATTCCTTCATATTTAATGGTGATGGTATTCTGTCCATAATCGATATTTGCATTAACTTTCTTCAACCATTCGTTACCAAGCAGAACATTATATTCAGCTGAGTTTGTGACTATCATATTGACATAGACTTTAATATCCCTCATTTGCACTGGGACTTGCTGAACCATCCCTAACGGTGATGATTTTTGTCCTGTTACATCAATGATCTTAATATTCGTAGGTAATTCAATTCCTTTATTGACTTTATCTAGGAATCTTTTAGAAATAATACAACCTACAGCCCCTGAATCTATTAAGACATTAACAGGTTGTCCATATACAATCGCTTCTCCATACAAAGCTTCTTCAGCTCTTTCTTTTTGATTAAGATATGCTGGTTCTTCTCTAATCAATTGGTTAAGAATATCAGTATAATAATTAACTAATATTGGGGTTAATTCATTATGTTTCACCATAAATTGGAATTGTTCAAAAGAAGTAATTGTCTAAGCTCCTTGTTTTTCAGGTTCAGTTCGCTGTAACTCTTGATTAGTGTTCTGAACGGGTCGGGTCAGGTCAGGTAATCCGTCTTACCCAACCCGACAAAAAAAAATCGGGTCGGGTCGGGTCGGGTAACCCGTCTTACCTGACCCGACCTGTTTGACCCGTTTGACCCGTTTGACCCGTATATCAAAAATGATTAAAAAATTAAAAAACCCCGGGGTTTTTAATTGAAAATGTCAACCCGACATTTTTTAGTTAAAAAAAAACAAAAAACGCCAAACTTGACATTTTTCTGTTAAAAAAGTAACGTTTCGGCGTTTTTTTAATATTTATTATATAAAAAAACGCCGAAACGTTTTTTCTTAATAATTAATACTAAAAAAAAAACGTTTTAACGTTTTTTTTTATAATTTTATATGAAAAAACGCTGAAACGTTTTTTCTTAACAACTAATACAAAAAAAAAACGTTTTCAGCATTTTTTTAATATAATTTACATGAAAAAACGCCGAAACATTTTTTCTTAATAATAATGCAAAAAAAAAACGTTTCTGCATTTTTTTTTAATAATTTTATATGAAAAAATGCTGAAACGTTTTTTCTATAATAATTAATACAAAAAAAAACGTTTCAGCATTTTTTTTCTAATAATTTTATATGAAAAAACGCCGAAACGTTTTTTCTATAATAATTAATATAAAAAAAAACGTTTCGGCGTTTATTTTTTAATAATTTTATATGAAAAAATGCCGAAACGTTTTTTCTTAACAACTAATACAAAAAAAAACGTTTCGCATTTTTTTCTAATAATTTTATATGAAAAAACGCCGAAACGTTTTTTCTATAATAATTAATATAAAAAAAAATGTTTCGGCATTTTTTTTAATAATTTTATATGAAAAAACGCTGAAACGTTTTTTCTTAACAACTAATACAAAAAAAAAATGTTTTCGGCGTTTTTTTAAATATAATTTACATGAAAAAATGCCGAAATGTTTTTTCTTAATAAGTAATATTAAAAAAAAACGTTTTGGCGTTTTTTTTTAAATTTTATATGAAAAAACGCCGAAACATTTTTTCTTAATAATCATGCAAAAAAAACGTTTCGGCATTTTTTTCTAATAATTTTATATGAAAAAATGCCGAAACGTTTTTTCTTAATAATAATACAAAAAAAAACGTTTCGGCATTTTTTTTTACATATTTGACCCATCTAAGGTTGCTTGTCTAAACCTCTTCAAAATCCTACGATTAGTTTCGTCAAAATTTTACTATAGATTTATTATAGTTTCGGCAGAGTTTCGGCAGTTTCAGCATTTATAATAAGTTTAAGCAGTTTCACCATTCTCCAAAGTTTAACAAATTTTTTAATATAACTTTAATATAGTTTCGGCAGAATTTCGCTTTTCGGCAAAACGCCATCTTGCCTAAACCCCTAGGTTTCGGCAAGCAACCTTAGACCCATCTGACCAGAAATATTATGTCGGGTCAAATGGGTCAACGGGTCAGGTCAAACTGTGACCCGACCCGTTCAGAACACTACTCTTGATAATCAGGTACTTTTGTTAAATAAACATCACAATTAAAAGCTGGATCGTTAAATAAAAATACACATTCATCTTTTTTAATATCTAGCGCTGTTTCTTCTTTTGTTTCTCTAAGCACAACTTGAAGAGAAAATTCACGATT